AAGGCATCAATTCCATTTACCAAAAATATGTAGGGATAAACCTTCCTAAGGATGCAAAAGACCTGTACTCAGAAAACTGTAACATATTAATGAAAGAAATCCAAGATGACAAAAATGGAGAGACATACCATATTCTTGGATTGGAAGAATCAATATTGTGAAAATGGCTATGCTAGGCAAAGCAATCTATGGATTCAATGCAATCCCTATCAAAATATCAATAGCACTTTTCAAATAACTAGAACAAAAAGCAGAGTGAAGTAAGTCAGAAAGGAAAACACCAATATAGTATTTTAACGCATATATATGGAATTTAGAAAGATGGTAATGATGACCCTATATATGAGACAGCAAGAGACACAGAGATAAAGAACAGACTTTTGGACTCTGTGGGAGAAGGTGAGGGTGGGATAATTTGAGAAGATAGCATTGAAACATGTATATTACTGTATGTGAAATAGATTGCCAGTCCCGGTTTGATGCATGAGACTGGGAGCTCAGGGCTGGTGCGCTGGGATGACCCTGAGGGATGGGATGGGGAGGGAGGTGGGAGGGGGGTTCAGGATGGGGGACACATGTACACCCATGGCTGATTCATGTCAAAATATGGTGAAAAACACTGCAATATTGTAAAGTATTTAGCCTCCAATTAAAATAAATAAATTAATTTAAAAAGTCACCTTGTATGGAGACACAAAAGAACATAAAGAGTCAAAGAAATCGAGAAAAAAATGCAGAGTTGAAGGAATCAGGCTCCTTGACTTCAGACTATACTACAAAGGTATAGTAATTAAGACTGTATGATACCAGCAGAAAATAGAAATAGAGATTAATGGAATAGGATAAAAATCCCAGAGATAAACCCACACAGCTATGGTTATCTAGTCTGTGACAAAGAATGCAACAATATACAATGGAGAAAAAGCTTTTAGAACAATAACACCATACAAAAAATAAAGTGAATTAAAGACCTAAATGTGAAGCTGGATACTGTAAAACTCTTAAAAGAAAACATAAGTACACCTCACTACAATATAAATTGTAATAAGATCTTAATTGACTCACCTCCTAGAGCAATGAAAGTAAAAATAAATAAATAAATATATATGATCTAATGAAACTTAAAAGCTTTAATGAGCAGAAAATCCTAATAGACAGAAGATCCTCATTTCTCCAAAGAAGGTATATATCAGGTTTAAAAGTGCATGAAAAGATGCTCAGCATTTATGATTATTAGANTCTTTATCTGATTTATTTCATTAGCATTCATGCATCCCTCTAGATTCAACCATGTTGATGCAAATGGCAAGATTTGTTTTATTTTTCTAACAATAATAATCTATTGTATACACACACATACATCCCCCTCCCCCATAAACCTTCTTTATCTATTCATCTATCAATAGATGACACTTGGGTTGCTTTCATATCTTGCCTATTGAAAATAATGCTGCAATGTTCATAAGGGTACACATATCTGTTCAAATCATTGTTTTTATTTTCTATAGGTAAATACCCAGAAGTAAAATTGCTGGGTCATATGGTAGTTCTATTTTAATTTTCTGAGGAAAGTTCACACCATTTTGCATAGTGGCTGTACCAATTTACAATCCATCCAAGAGTGCGAGAGGGTTCCTTTTCCTCCATATTCTTGCCAACATTCATTTGTTGTCCTTTGGATGATAGCTACTCTGACTTATATCAGGTGGTACCTCATTTTGTTTTGATTTACTTTTTCCTGATGATGAGAGATATTGAGCATCTGTGTCTGCTGGCCATCTGTATGTCTTTTTAGGAAAAATATTTATTCAAGTCTTCTTCCCATTTTTATTGCCCCCTTTTTTTTTTAACTTTGACTTGTGTTCTTTATAAATTTTGGTTATTAATCCCTTATTAGATTAAACTGTTTGAAAATATCTTCTCTAATTCATTAGGTTGACTTTTCATTCTGTTTATGGTTTCCTTTGCTATGCAAAATATTTTTAGTTTTCTGCAATCCAGTTTGTTTACTTTCACTTTTGTTTCCCTTGCCTGAAGAAATAGATCTCAAAAAAATGTTGCTAAGGTTTATGTCAGAGAGCATGCTGCTTCTAGGAGTTTTATGGGTTTAGACCTTACATTTAAGTCCTTAATTCATTTTTGGTTTATCTTTATATGGTGTGAGAAAGTAGTTCAGTTTGAGTCTTTTGCATATGTAACTGTCCAGTTTCTCAACATATTCATTGAAGAGGGTGTCTTTTCCCCATTGTATCATCTTGCTTTCTTTGTTATAGATTAATTGACAATATGAGGTGGCACTAGTGGTAAAGAACCCGCTTGTCAATGCAGGAGACATAAGAGACATGGACTCGATCCCTGGGTTGGGAAGATCCCCTGGAAGAGGGTGTGGTAATCTGCTCCAATATTGTTGCCTGGAGAATTCCATGGACATTGGAGACTGGCAGGCTACAGTCCATAGGGTCATAAAGAGTCAGAACACAACTGAAGTGACTTAACATGCATGCACAGTATACTCTTAATATTGGGGTATACTCTTAATATGTGCTTAATATTAGGGCTTCCCAGGTGATACCAGTGGTAAAAAACCTGCCTGCCAATGCAGGAGATGTAGGAGACTTGGATTTGATCCTTGGTTCAGGAAGCTCCCTTGGAAAAGTGAATGGCAATACACTCTAGTATTCTTGCCTGGAGAATCCTGTGGACAGAGGAGCCTGTCAGGCTACAATTAATGGGGTCACAGAGTAAAATGACTGAAGCAACTTAGAATGCACATATATATAGATTTTTTATGGGGGCGGGCTTTCTATTCAGCTCCATTGATTGATATGTCCATTTTGTGCCAGAACTGTACTGTTTTGATAACTGTAGCTTTTTAGTATAGTTTGAAAGTGAGAGGAATGTTATCTTTTGCTTTGTTCTCCTTTCTTGATTGTTTTGGCTATTCCTAATCTTTTATGTTTCCATTCAAATTTTAGAATTATTAGTTCTAGTTCTAGGAAAACACCATTTGTACTTTGATAAGAATTGTACTGAATCTGTAGATTATCTGTAGATTATCTGTAGATTATCTTGGGTAATTATTTTAACAAGGTTAACTCCTCAAAGCTATGTGCTGATGTGTCTTCTTATTTGTCTGTGACAGCTTCAATTTCTTTGGAAGGCAGCTGTGCTCACCAATATACCACCAAAGCCACATGTGTCTTCAGGTCTTCCATTAAGTGTAATATGGTTTTCTGAGTACAGATTCTTTACTTCCTTAGTTAAGTTTATTCCAAGGTATTTTATTTTATTGATACAGGTGTATGCAAAGATGGCCACACTAAAGAACAGAAGTGGTATGGACCTAACAGAAGCAGAAGATACTAAGAAGAGGTGGCTAGAATACACAGAAGAGCCATACAAAAAAGATCTTATTGACCCAGATAACCATGATGGTGTGAACACTCACCTAGAGCCAGACATCCTGGAGCACAAAGTCAAGTGGGCCTTAGGAAGCATCACTACAAACAAAGCTAGTGGAGGTGATGGAATTCCAGCTGAACTTCTTCAAACCCTAAAAGATGATGCTATGAAAGTGTTGCACTCAATATGCCAGCAAATTTGGAAAACTCAGCAGTGGCCATAGGACTTGAAAAGGTCAGTTTTCATTCAAATCCCTAAGAAAGGCAATGCCAAAGAATGTTCAAACTACTGCACAATTGCAGTCATCTCACATGCTAGCAAAGTAATGCTCAAAATTCTCCAAGCTAGGCTTCAACAGTACATTAACTAAGAACTTCCAGATGTTCAAGTTTGATTTAGAAAAGGCAGAGAAACCAGAGAGCAAATTGCCAATTTCTGTTGGATCACTGAAAAAGCAAGAGAATTCCAGGAAAACATCTGTTTCTGCTTCATTTACCACTTGAAAGCCTTTGACTGTGTGGATCACAACAAACTATGGAAAATTCTTAAAGAGATGGGAATACCAGGCCAACTGACCTGCCTCGTGATAAATCTGTATGCAGGTCAAGAAGCAACAGTTACAACCGGACATGGAACCATGGACTGGTTCCAAATTGGGAAAGGAATACATCAAGGTTGTGTACTGTCACCCTGTTTATTTAACTTATATGCAGAATTCAGTTCAGTTCAGTTCAGTTCAGTCACTCAGTCATGTCCAACTCTTTGTGACCCCATGANAACTTTTTCACTCTCCTCTTTCACTTTCATCAAGAGGCTTTTTAGTTCCTCTTCACTTTCTGCCATAAGGGTGGTGCCATCTGCATATCTGAGGTTATTGATATTTCTCCCAGCAATCTTGATTCCAGATTATATGCAGAGTACATCATATGAAATGTTGGGCTGGGTGAAGCATAAGCTGGAATCAAGATTGCTGGTAGAATCATCAATAACCTCAGATATACAGATGACACCACCATTATGGCAGAAAAATAAGAACTAAAGAGCATCTTGATGAAAGTGAAAGAGGAGAGTGAAAAAGCTGGCCTGAAACTCAACATTCAAAAACTAAGATCATGGCATCTGGTGCCATCACTTTATGGTAAATAGAAAGGGAGAAAGTGGAAGCAGTGACAGATTTTGATTGATGCTTTTGTGAGCTGAAGAAGACTCTTGAGAGTCCCTTGGAGTGCATGGAGATCAAACCAGTCAATCCTAAAGGAGATCAACCATAAATATTCACTGGAAGGAGTGTTGCTGAAGCTGAAGTTCCAATATTTTGGCCCCTTAATGTGACGAGCTCAGGGGAAAAGACTGGTGCTGGGAAAGACTGAAGGCAATAGGAGAAGGGGGTGGCAGAGGATGAAATTGTTAGATAGCATCACCAACTCAATGAATATAAATTTAGGCAAACTCCAGGAGATAGTGGAGGACAGAGGAGCCTGGTGTGCCACAATCTATGGGGTCACCAAGTGTTGGACATGACTTAGTGATTAAGCAACAACAATTTTGGGTGCATATATATTTACAATTGTTATATCTTCCTTTTCAAATGATCCCTTTATTATTAAGTAATGTCTTTGTCTCTTATAACAGTCTTCATTTTGAAGCCTGTTTTGTCAGAAATAAGTATTGCTACTTCAGCTTTCTTTTGACTTTCATTTGCACGGAAGGAATACCTTTCTTCATCCTTTCACGTTCATTCATCCTTTCACTTTCAGTCTGTGTGCATGTGCTTGCTTCTGAAATGAGTTCTTTGTAGGCAGCTCGCATATGAGTATTGTTTTTCTGTCTATTCAGCCACTCTGTGCCTTTTGGTTGGAACATTTAGAGAACTTCCTTTACCATTTTATTTAAGACCAGTTTAGTGATGCTGAATGTTTTTAACTTTAGCTTATATGAAAAACTCTTATTTCTCCTTCAAATGTATATCATAGCCTTGCTGCGTAGAGTATTTTTGGTTGTAGGTCTTTTTCCTTTCATTACTTTGAATATATCATGCTACTCCTTTCTGGCCTTTAGAGTTTCTGCTAAAAAGTCAGTTGGTGGCCTTATAGGAGTTCTTATATATAGCTAGCTGACTTTTCTCTTGTTGATTTTAAGATTTTTCACTTTATCTTTAACTTTTTTCTTTTTAATTATATTGTTTTGATGTGGACTTTTTGGATTCATCTTCTTTGTGTCCCTCAGTGCTTTCTGTACATGGATGTTTGTTTTCTCCCTCAGGTTGGATAATTTTTCAGTTATTATTTCTTCAAATAAGTTATCTGTCTCTTTCTTTCTTCACCTTCTAAGATCCACAGAATGGAAATGTTAATATGCTTGATGCTGTCTCAAAGGTCTCTTAAATTATCCTCATTAATTTTTTTTCTCTTCTTTTCTGTCTCACTTGATGATTTTCATGACTGTGTCCTCCAGTTCTCTGACTCATTCCTTCATGTCATTTAATCTACTGTTGAATTCTTCTAGTATATTTTTATTTCAGTGATTGCATTCTTTTGCTCTGTTTGGTTCTTATTTATATTTTTGCATATTTGTTAAAATTCTCACTGTGTTCATCTTAATCTTTTATCTCAAACATATCTTCAATATCTCAAAATCCTTCTCAAATGTTTGGTAAGCATATTTGTGATCATTATCTTGTACTCTTGTAGATTGCATGTACCCACTTGTTTTTTAGTTCTTTTCTCAGGTTTGGTCTTATTGCTTCATTTGGAACATATTCCAGTCTCTTCATTTTCCCCAATTCTCTCTGTTGCTTTCTCTGTGTTAGGAAGGATGATTGTGTTTGCTAATATTGGAGAAGTAGCCTTATATAAAAGATATCATAGAGGACCTCCAAAACCATGCTCCTCTTTTTCACCAGAGCTGTATGTTCTAGGGATACTCCCTATATGGACTATGTGCACCCTTTTTTAGTAGTAGGGCTGACTACTGTGGGTGGGAGTGGCCTCTGCCCAGTTTGCTGTGAGGCTGTAGGTCTGCCCAGTTTGCTGTGAGGCACAGGGTAGGTTTCTTGCATGATTGGTTGTTTGTTTCAGGGTAGTGCAGGGCTGGTGCTGGCCTTCTGGGAAGCAGGATTGGGTCCTCATGGGCTGTCTCTTTAGCACTTGGGGGTGGGGTACTCAGGAACGGTGCTTGCCTCCTGGTGAGTGTAAGGCCCAACACTACTATGCTAGAGAGAGAATTCCAAAATGGTTTCTACCAGCAGTGGTGCTATAGTGGTATAATAAACTCCCAAAATGGTTGTTGCCAGTGTTTATTCTCCAAGTAGAGTCTTAGTTCTTCCTGTCTCTTTGGGATACTCTTATTGGCAAGTCTTAATTGTAGAAAATCTTTTCTGCTAGTCTTGGATCATTCTCATGGGCAGTTGCCCTGTAAATAGTTGTAAATTTGGTTTGTTTGTGAGAGGAGGTGAGTTCTGGGTCTTCATATTCCACCATCTTAGCTACCTCTAAAGCACTGCATTAAATGATAATTTGTGTGCCCTTCTTCTCCCTCACATTACTGTTCTGTCTCAGACTTCTCAGCAGAGTGTCTGGAATTAGCTGAGTTCTCAGGCTACGAGGCAGTTGTTAGATGTGATGAACATGATATCAGGTGATTTGTTGAATGTGGCACAAGTGGAAGCTGGAACAGAGACAAAAGGTCAGTAGAAGTCAAACTGGACAGACCTTAGCCATCAAAGCTGGCTGCCAGTGAAATATAAGTGAAGCCCTATAGATAGTTCTGAAAGAAGCTTAATGTTCCCACAGTTGATTTAAAATTAGTGTGTCTACCTTTTGTTTTGCCTGCTAGGCTTGGATTATCTTGCTCAAGCCAATTCTAAAATAGTACTAATTTGGTTTTAAGAAACTGTGCTTGTTACATATGTTTTAGTGTTCTGATACCAGTGTGACCAGGGTCATAGGATATAGCTGTGTGGCATACACGCTGCCCAACTGCAAGGGTTGATGACTGTAGTGACTACAGTGTGATGGTGGCCCTTGGGATTACATACTTCTGGCTTCTCAGAGTGTGACTTTTCTACTAAGGATACCCTGCTAGTCATTTCTATGGACTATGGCTATGGCAGTGTTTTCCTTACAGTCCTGTTTCCCTGGCAGGGATTGTAACCAGGAGTTGAAAATTATGGGGTTATGCTGAATATTTATTAAAATTTGTGTTTTGTAGAACACCACCTTAAAATGTCTGCATTCAATTTTATTGGCAGGCCAGCCATTCTGGATTTCTTATGTGGAAGCATGGGGTAAGATGGTAAAACTGATATAAGTGCTACCCCATGGTGCTGCTTGCTTCTTCTTCTTCTTTCTCTCTCTCTCTCTTTTTTTTTGTTTTCCTTTTCTAATTTCTTCCTCCTAGAGTAAGTTTAAGAGGAAAATCTTTTTTAAAGTTCAGTCTTTTTAAAAAGAGAATTGGATTATCAGGAATTTATATATATATATATATATAAATAAAAATCTTTTAGAAAATATATCAACCCCCATCTAGCTTTTAATTTCAAAGTATACTTGTTTTTAAGAAACTTTAAAATTGATATAATTATGATGTGAACATCTACTAAATCCATAATTCACTATTAAAACAAAGTGTTATGAATGGTTAACCTTTTAGTTGGATTGTTCCATAAATAAAAAATTTGAATTAAAACAATACAAAAGCTGTATTCTCCATTCTTTACACTGTGGGATATCTAAGCCTTTTTATATGAATATTTACCTAAATACTGATGTATGTTAAACTTCTTTCCTATAAAACCAGAAGGCTTTGGCACTAACTGCTGCTGTTATCCTGGTATTTCTAGCAGATGTTTTGAATAATTCCCTTTGACACTATAGGGACATGCTCTCTGACAGCTTTATTCAGATTTAATCACATTTCTGCAGAAGCACTCACTTTATATTATATAGACTGAGGAACCCCCAAAATATCTTTGGGTACTATGATGAATTATTGATCTCATTTGGTCAGCCTCAGAGGAGCTTATTTAACTTTCAGTGTGCTATATTGTTATGTAAAGACATAAATATACAAAGAGAAAAGGCATCCTGTAATCATCTCATAGTCCCACTTTCCAGTCCTGCATTCCTCTTGCTATGCCAGCAGAGTTAACAGGTTGGTTAGTTGGTTAGTTAGCTCTAACCAGCAGAGTCAAGTCCTCAGGCCTCAGAGTCTTTTGATGGGCTGGGGAACGTTCTCTCTGGATAATGCTATACTGATCATTTAAAGTCTCCTCCGGTTGGGGTGGAATTAGAGCAAGCCTTGGTACTTTGCAATTTTTATTTCTCCCTGTGTTCTGCATCCTCCCCCCAACCCCATGTGTTTGGGTAACTGGATGGTTGTTGGCTTGGCTTTGAATACACATGGCCTGTGACTGATTGAAGTTCAGACAAGGGTTTGTTCTTCCCAGTTTGGGAGCATGTACTAGATGCACACTGTTCAGAGAGAAGGAAAGACATTTTCAGAAGGTAAACACTGAATTTTTGTGATTCAGCCTGCACTCTGTAACTCCTGTTGGCTCTTATCCCCTCTTATCTCTGTGAGTAGGTCAGTATGGGGCAGAGACTACCTCTGTGCAGTTTTGCATTCAAATAGACATACGCTGTGACCACACCTCTCCAATTACAAACTCCATGACTTTGGAAACTGTACTTAACTGAACCTAAGTTTCCTAATATATACAACTGGGATTTATTGATGCATATTTAATAGAGTAAAAGTGAGGCTTAATTATGATGATAGTGAGTGAGTGAAAGTCACTCAGTCATGTCTGACTCTTTGTGACCCCATGGACTGTAGCCCACCAGGTTCCTTTGTCCATGGGATTCTCCAGGCAAGAATACTGGAGTGGGTTGCCATTTCCTTCTCCAGGGGATCTTCCCAACCCATGGATCAAAGCCAGGTCTCCCGCATTGCAGGCTGATTCTTTACCAGCTGAGCCACAAGGAAAGCCCAAGAATACTGGAGTGGGTAACCTATCCCTTCTCCAGGGGATCTTCTGACCCAGGAATCGAACCAGGGTCTCCTGCATTGCAGGTGGATTCTTTACCAACTGAGTTTTGAGGGAAGCACAATTATGATGATAAACCCTCATTAAATGGTGGTTCTCATTGTTGTCTTCCAAAGGCCGAACAAATGGGGATTTGTATTAAAATCTGCCTTTGAGCATAGAAATTCCATACCTGGCAAGTATGCTTCCATTATAATTCCTTCTCGTATTCAATTAACCTTGTTGTCTTTCTTTCATTTCTTTCTCTCATTTTCTTTCTTTTGACGCTTTACCATTTTCTCTATCCTAAAATCTATTTGTGTCTTGGCTGCTCCCCACACCCTGATGACAGGGTCTGCACTAAGGTGAGGTGAGTGAGGCACCTGCCTTAGATGCTAAGTTTAAGGAGGCAACAAAAAACAGTACTCAAAATAAAGAATTTTAATTAATATATTTAAAAGATTAAAATTATGTAAAAAAGATTCAAATTGAAAAAAATATCAAAATTTTAAATAAAGAAAGCAACCAATCCTGCACTTACACTACTCAGCCTTACTTGAATCCTGGCCAGAGCAGATGATATTTTACCCCATCTTTCGTAATTCAACCTGTGAAAAGAATTCCACTTATGGCTGATTCATGTTGTTGCATGGCAGAAACCAACACGACATTGTAAAGCAATTATTCTCCAATTTGGAAAAAGAAAAGGAATTTCATTAGGAATTGGCTTGTACTTACAGTCAAAATGCAAATTATAAACACTACCATTCTTTTTTCATGGGTCCTGCAAATGCTAGACTGTGACTCCCTCCAGTTTCCTCTCAATGATAAGTATGAACATTCCTGAGGCACATTGCTATTAGCTCTCAGGTTACCATCATTGGCAACTCCCTGAAATTCTATTGGAAAAGTCCACTTGTCCTTTAAATATTACATCTCTCCACTACTGCATTTGTTCCTTACTGTAGGCAGAGACAATGGAGGAGATATGAGCACTGGAGAGAAGCTACAAAAAGCTGATACAACTTTAGAAATGTATCTACACTGGGATATGAGGACACATTTACTGTTCTTGGTTTCTTTATTCTCACATACTTCATTTAACATGATTTTGCTTTGCAATCATCACACTGGAAGAGTAACTTACCTAATTCTTTTTCTAAATTGAGTTTCTCCTGATTTCTTCTTTTTTCCAGCTATAGGTCTGTAGTGATATACCCTCCTTCACTCTAGAATGTAGACATAAAACTGTTTTTTAATTTTATTTTTTTAAAGTTTATCTTGTATCTTGTGAGCTTACTGAATTTATTATTTCTAAGAGGTTTCAGTAGATTCCTTGAGGTATTCTACACAAATAATCATTTTTATTTGCTTATTTGGCTGCACCAGGTTTTAATTGCAGCATGCAGGATCTAGTTTCCTTGCCAGGGATCAAACCAGGGTCCCCTGCATTGGGAGCATGCAGTCTTAGCCACTGGACCACATAAATAATCTTGTCATCTGCAAATAGGGACAGTTTTATTTCTTCCTTTCCAAGCTGTGTACCTTTTGTTTCTTTCATCTGCTTTACTGTTCTCTGGTTATGGCATTATATTTAATAAGAATAGCAAAGAAGACATTCTTTCTTGATTTGTTCTTGATCTTAGAGGGGAAGCATGCCTTGTTTATCTCTAAGTATGGGATATAAGAAGCAGAAATGACCCTCAAGGGACTCATCACAATGTTATTCCTTGGGTCACAAGGGCCCTGGCTGGGCTTCTTTTCTCAAACTTTCAGGATCTTATTACATTTGTCCTATACATAATGTCCAAGATTTAGGTTTTCTTATTGAGGGAATAGGTAAAACAATGTCAGCTCCATCTTTCTGGACACAGAAGACTCCCCTTTGATTTTTGATGGCTTCATATTATGTATTGATCTAATATATGATCTTATATATGACCTTTGTATATGATCACATCTAATAGTCATGAGCTATGATATTTCATGCTAGTATTATTAAACTACAACTTCTAAATTGTGTGAGAGTCGTTGCTGTTGTTCAGTCACCCTTCATGTCTGATTCTCTGTGGCTGCAGGGACTGCAGCATGCCAGGCCTCCCTCTCCCTCACCATCTCCTGAAGTTTGCCCAAGTTAATGTCCATTGCATCAGTGATGCCATCCAGCCATCTCATCCTCTGATGCCCTCTTCTCCTTCTGCCCTCAATCTTTCCCAGCATCAGGTACTTTTCAATGAGTCAGCTATTTGCATCAGGTGACCAAAATAATGGAGCTTCAGCTTCAGCAACAGTCCTTCCAGTGAGTATTCAGAGTTGATTTCCCTTAAGATTGACTGGTTTGATCCCCTTGCTATTCAAGGGATTATGTCATCTTTAAATTGATCTAGCTTTAAAATGTGGAGAAGGCAATGGCATCCCACTCCAGTACTCTTGCCTGGAAAATCCCATGGCCGGAGGAGCCTGGTGGGCTGCAGTCCATGAGGTCGCTAAGAGTCGGACACGACTGAGCAACTTCACTTTCACTTTTCACTTTCATGAGCTGGAGAGGGAAATGGCACCCCACTCCAGTGTTCTTGTCTGGAGAATCCCGGGGACAGGGGAGCCTGGTGGGCTGCTGTCTATGGGGTCGCACAGAGTCAGACACGACTGAAGTGACTTAGCAGAAGCTTTAAAATGTGGCTTCCCTGATAGTTCAGTTGGTAAAGAATCTGCCTGCAAAGCAGGAGATCCCAGTTCAATTCTTGGGTTGGGAAGATCCCCTGGTTTACCCACTCCAGTATTCTGGCCTGGAGAATTCCATGGACTGTACAGTCCATGGGGTCACAAAAATTTTGAGCAACTTTCAGTTCACTTCAGCTTTAAAATGTGTTTTACTATCTGGTTTAATTAATCCCTTTCAACTTCCTGATGAAATTCAGTGTCAAATGCCAGCAAAACTTTGGACATCATCAGCAATAGTATTAGGAAACAAATCTTTATTATTGTATCTCTTTAAAACTAGACTTAGGCTGTGACCACGCCTCTCCACTTACTTAATAGTGCATTGACACAATGAGCAGCTATAGAAGCAGCTGCTGCGCTGTCCCTGAGCGGTGCGTTGGAACTTTTCTAAGCCTCAAAGTAGATCATCCAAGTAGTTGTAGCTTAGAAAATGTAGATACAATTTACTCAGTAAATTCCCAAAGACTTGAAAATGGCATAGCCTTTGATACTTCAGTGATTTTAGGAAAATTAATCAGGACTTTTCACAGTTGTTTAAAATAATGGAACTCTGTCTGATGCCTCAATACAACAGTTCATCTTCAAATTGAAGCAATGGAGATTAGAATACATAACACACATCCTTTCGGGACAATGATACCTAACTATGTCTTTCCAGGACTAGCCTATTTTTTTTTAAATGTTGGCCAATATTTCTATACCAGTGTAAGTGCAGTGATTCAGATTTATTGATGTCCAATATCTCTCTTCCATTGTAGAATTTATTGTTTAGAAATAAAGTCAGTCACTTTTTTTCTTTCCAGCTCCTTTCTCCAATCAGTTGCTTTCCTTTTACTTATATATGTTTCTGGAATCAAACTGATAAATACCTTTCAAGTTCCAATTTTGCTTTAGCATCCAACTTGCCTCAGGTCCCTTCAATATTTTCCTGGTTATTCACTTGGCATATCATTCAGCAATTTCTCCATGTAATGGATCTGGCAACATGGTGGAGTTCAAAGGCATAACTAATTGCAAATGAGAAGCTAACTATATCAGATAATATGTGTATGTTTCACTTCCTTGTTTTAAAAAGATAGGAGTTGAATTTTGCTTTGAAATAAAATGATTATATTATACTTTATGCCTTCTTTTTATCCTTCTAGTTAAGATTTCAGGACTTTTTACTGCATTAGAAATGTATATTAATATATAGTATTGCAATCACAATTTTAAAATAAAAGATATTCAAGAGCCAAAAAATTAGGCATGAGTATCTGTATGTTTACATGGATAAGTCATTTTTTAATAATTAGTGTTTAGAAGTTGGAAATTCACTTGATAATATTTTTGCTAAACTGGAAACTGACTTAACAATATTTTTGATAAATATTTTCCATGAAGATTTAGTTACAGTGATTCAAATTTGGAGACTAAGTTTTTATTTTGACTATTTTTTGATCATCTTCCATTGTGTTTGGTGAATTTAGGTTTAAGCAGTTAGAATTTACATGAAATTGATTATAGTTTTCAATTTTTCCTTCCAATGAATTATAAGATATTGTTTAATTAAAAAACCCAGTTAATAGTTTGTCATTTCTGAACTTGGGAAATAACAGCTCGTTTAAGAAAGACATCTCGGTGCATGCCAATGTTCATTGCAGCACTGTTTATAATAGCCAGTGCATGGAAGCAACCTAGATGCCCATCAGCAGATGAATGGATAAGAAAGCTGTGGTGCATATACACAATGGAATATTACTCAGCTATTAAAAAGAATTCATTTGAATCAGTTCTAATGAGATGGATGAAACTGGAGCCCATTATACAGAGTGAAGTAAGCCAGAAAGATAAACACCAATACAGTATACTAATGCATATATATGGAATTTAGAAAGATGGTAATGATAATCCTATATGCAAGACAGAAAAAGAGACACAGACATACATAACAGACTTTTGGACTCTGTGGGAGAAGGCGAGGGCAGGATGTTTTGAGAGAACAGCATCGAAACATGTATATTATCAAGTGTGAAACAGATCACCAGCCCAGGTTGGATGCATGAGACAAGTGCTCAGGGCTGGTGCACTGGGATGACCCAGAGGGATGGGATGGGGAGGGAGGTGGGAGGGGGGTTCAGGATGGGGAACACATGTAAATCCATGGCTGATTCATGTAAATGTATGGCAAAAACCACTACAATATTGTAAAGTAATAGCCTCCACCTAATAAAAATAAATGAAAAAAAAAGATGTCTCAGAGCTTTTATTAATACAGTGATTGACAATATTCTTATTTATTGATATTTCCTCATTTATATAGCTTTCAATTTTATGTTTCTGTCCTTTGTTTACTAAGAAAGAAATTTTCCTAAGCATACAATATACCTGTAAATTAAATAGCTTACCTTCATTATCATTGAAATTATGATAGCAATTTCTAGTAGGTATTAACTGATTGTGTTTCTTTATTTCTTACCATACTTACCCACGCAAATAATTAACCTTTTAGCCTCAATTATGGGTTTTTCTTTAGTTTAAAATTGATTGGACAAAGTGAATTCTCTTTTGTTTTCCTTGCCATGGGCCAATATATTTTTACTTATCTATAGCAATGAGTAGTAACGTAAGGCTAATTCTGGCAATCACTGTATTTAAATTAATGACCCCTGTTTGCAAAGTTGGAGGTTGAGGATGGAGGAGACGATTGCAAACTTTTCAGGCACATAGAGGGAAGAAGACACAAGATAAGCAAGTAGTGCCTCAGATGAGAATATTGAAAAATGTGGATTTTCATATTAAATGGATGGTCTAATGAATGCAGGGGTCTTCCCACGTGGTGCTAATGATAAAGAACCCATCTGACAATGCCAGAGATATAAGAGATGTGGGTTTGATCCCTGGGTTGGGAAGATCTCCTGGAGCAGAGCATGACAACCCAATCCAGTATTCTTGCTTGGATAACCCCATGGACAGAGGATCCTGGTGGTCTACAGTCTATGAGGTCACAAAGGTCAGATACAACTGAAGTGACTTAACATGCATGCAATGAATACAGAGGCAGTGTTTTCATCTTAAGGGGATTAAGTGTATTGTGTTGTCCATCCTAAGAAACAATATTTTATCTGGACAAAATGTTTTTTGTCTTGTTCAGTTGCTCAGCTGTGTCTGACTGTTTGTGATTCTGTGGACTGCAGCATGCCAGGCTTCCCTGTCCTTCTCTATCTCCTGGAATTTTCCTCAAACTCATGTCCATTGAGTCGATGATGCCATCCAAACATCTCATCCTCTGTTTCTGCTTTCTCCTGCTACCCTCAATCTTTCCCAGCATCAAGGTATTTTCCAATGCTTAGATGAATAGTTAATAGATACCATCAAAACAGAACTTGTACTTACACCATGACCCCTCAAGCTCATGACTACAGTGTGAATGGGATGAAGAAAGAGGCCTCGTTCATGATTTTAAATCAAGCCTTTGAAAGTGATTAAAGTGACTATTTCAGAACATTGGATAAAAACTT